TCAACCCCGGAGCTGATTCAACTCCCTAAGATCTCCGATAGCCGCAGCCATCCAGGCATGCCTTGCAGCGGCAACGACGCAGGCAGCTATTCCGTACATATATATGTGGGCTTGGCAGCGTCGTTACATACGCATGTTTCGGTAACGACGACAGGTGACCCGCGTCTTGCATATCACAGTTGCTTCTCTCGGTTCACGATAGTTTCAGCGAGAGATTTGGCTGGCTGGGATACTCTTCTGACCCAAGCGGCCTCTGCCGCTTTACATGAGTCTTTCTCAGAGGATCGGGAGCATTATTCCGACGTCAGCTACCTACCTTGTACGTATCACTCGTCAAGGGTCTCCGCGCCCGTTATGGCCTGATGTGGCTGCTTCTACAAGACATCTCATGGTCTAGATCTCCCTCGAAGGCTGAACTAAATACGAGATGCACATTGTACTCGATTTGCCGACGATACATGATTATTTCGATCAAGGACTCTGGAACCCCTGGCATACAACAACGAAATCTAAATAGATCTTGAGCTGAGCCGCAATCAGCGTTAGCTTACCTATACCTAGATGAAGGTAGGTCATGGTATTCAAGGGCCATTGTTCTTAGAGCTATCTCATGCCCAATTCTCAAGTCTATTTAATAGTTTTAGGCATTTTAAGAATCACTGGAAACCCTTACCTGAACTGATAAACTTAGATAAATAGGTTATGGACGGTATAGGATGGAAGATTCATATTCTCAATGAAGATACCCTGGGCGAATAGAATTAAGATGCCGGCAAAAGTGAACCTCGCCGCGGTACTTTGTTCCTAAGAACATGTATCCCCAAGCCATCTTATAACCTATATCAGCCACATTATATCTAATATTACCTATTAATCTTCTTATACCGATACCCTTAGTTACTAACTTAAGAATAAGGCTTACCTACCTCTCATTTAGGCCCCGTAAGTCATTCCTGGAAAGAGACCATATATGGGTGATATGTAGGCGTATGGCTGTAAGTTAGTCACTTCTATTGCGAACTGATATTCCTCGGTATCCGGAGTACTAACAATACTTCCTCGATAATATCCTAGTTACCTAAGCTGCTAGCTAGGTATCTAACCTACTGTAAGAAGCTTTACTACACACATTTAACCAATGATAGTGCGAAAATGGTTTCTAAATGTCTGTTCTGAATAGTGAATTAACCCCCCTTTTCGACTTGGATCATTACTTACCTACATTGATATGGGTTATAATTGTATAGGTACGTATATATAGTTCTTAATTTTCATTTCATATATCCCAAGTCCTGTATATATGCCGGCTTGAAAACTTCACAGGGGCTCACATACATACCTAGGCGTATAAAAGAATGGTGTTCCGTTGTCGGCTGCTCACTAAACATTTGATAGGTAATACTGAAAGCTATTAATGGACAAGTGTGAGACAACTTCATGCGAAGTACATGATGATCCTTAGATTAATTACGCCTCTTTAAATACCGAGTTGGATCCGTAGATCCAGTTGCTAAAACTACATGTCACATTTCACAGCAGACCTCCCACACGTGTACACTACGAATAAGCGAGGGTATCCTTTCTTACATTTTTACTCTGTAACTAGCCTGGTTTATCAGTTGAGTGATATTGTTACACCTAAAGATCCTCAATTTCACCCACGCCGTTGGGCTGGGACTGCGGGCAGGGTTCCAGGATGGACGGAATTCTTGCGAATCTTAGGTAGCTTCAAAGCTCTTGCTCCATCCTAATATTCTTCGTAGTTACATCAGGACAGAGACATCTCGGTACTGGTGGTAAGAAATGTCATTGTAAGGCATCTGTATAGTTTCTTGCGTATTAGAATTACCAGGTAAGATGTACCTACCATCCAAGTTTAGGTATAAATCTAAATAGGGCGCTGTATATCACTTGAGTGATAGATCCTTACAACTCCTAAGATCTCTAGAATAACACGATTTTAAATCTTCGAGACGCATGTTTGTCACATTTACTTTAAGAAACACCCGGGTCTACCCCTCTCCACAACGACAAGGGATACTCTGTAATAAGGTAGGTCTAGCAACAGTTCAAGGTTACTTTACTACTACGTATGTAGGTACATAAATACCCTTATACTTATTATTCATACATAGTGCATACAAGCGGTAGCTATTATTGCAGATCATGGATTACCCTTCCACCTCGGTTCCATCCGGTGGGAAGCTGTCAGCTTCTGTAGTGACCCTAGCAACCGTGATTTATGACATGAGCTCGAAATTGATTAAGTTTCTAGCGTAAATGGCAAAAAGTGACAGTCACGGCTCAAAAGGCGATGTGCCCCGTAAGATTTCTAACCTGCCGAGATTAGTACGCTTCCTAGTTGCAGCTGCGGCTTCCCGTTAGGGGCAAGCTGAGCTCTCTCATTGCTTCGTGTGGTGGAAATCGTTAGTTTATATCATGGGTCAACGTATGATATTACTCAGCCCTCACCCTATTCCCCGGGACCAACTCACCGGCAGTGGCTGGTCGCGTATGTATGTAAAGAATAAGTAAATAGCTTTCCCAGGGCACAGGTCCTGTATCCCAGGGGGATGTGAGTCTCGACCAGCATCCGCTCATACATAATACCTAACTCCACCACCGGGAAGAAACATGACGCCTCTTCACGCTAGAGTAACCCGGCGTGTATTGTTATTCACGTGGCTGACAGGATCACGTAGTATGTTATTATCGGATCGACACGCCCATCCGCACGCGCTTCTTGCCGAACTACCTACAGAACGGCGCCTTTTTTATGCCTCCTTGCTTCTTCTACCATGCTCTAGGGGATAATTAAAAGACACGGGATGACCTGAAACATAAATGAGAGTAGTATTTATGACATATTGCCGAGTCTGTCCTCCTCGTGGCGGGACCTTAATTTGACCTAGCCGAGTCACCATTCGTAGTTTTGCACGTATGAAGTACCACTAATATGATGGCGTCTTTGCTCCAAGATACGTCCCTACATAACTCTGTCTTAGTATATCAGCCCTCTCGCGAGAGTTACCCAAATAGGAATTTTCAATGCCTGGTGCGCATTTTCTAGCTTTTCGATGAGAGATAGTTATCCCGCACCGCCGAACGTAAGCCACCAGATACACCACACAACTAATTCTCACGTATCACTGGATTTATCTATCCAGACTCTAAAAGGGGGGTGGACGCACATAGGCTACAATGCACAACCGCCACCTTTCTGCACGCAATCACATCTAGATCAGCCGATCAGAAAGGGATAAGAAGCGCGGGCTTCACACGGGATAACCTCAACGTCCAAGAGGTTACCTATCCAAGAGATACAGTTCGGTGAGATTTCCTCCTACGTCTCTGCTGGCTCCGTAAGCATAGTCCGCTCAACCGGATGCAGCCTCCCTATGTGCCGTCCCCTACACCCGGCGCCGATCCCATCCCGCGCTGTTCGTTGGAGCGTCGGGGACGATCAGCAGGGGGTTGCTCTCTAGTTCTACAGATCAGTTTTCCACATACGTACGGGCGCCCAGCTCACGTGCCGATCCTCTGGCATAAGCCCAGCCAGTGGGGGAGTTCCGTACGTTGGTAAAACTCGCGTTCGTATCACGGCAAATTTTCTTTGCTGCGTAACCTCACCCTCGCCAGCGGCTTCTGTAGCCTTATCTACGTGTGAGCTGCGCCGATCATGTCTTACTTGCAAGTGCAATATTCGTATATTGCTGGCGAAACTGTGTGGCGACATGCCGGGAGTTATACCGTGCCGTCCTATGTATGCCGGCAGCCTCAGCGAATATGCGATTTTGGGATATCGGCATAGTACTTAATCTATGGCGAACTAACGAGTAATCACCACTCCGAGACCCTGGCATTGTACTTTTCATGCCGTGCTCACGAAAAGGGGGATGGCGGACTCAGCCGACGCAACCCAGTTGAGAGGCCTGACGTAAGTATCAAGAGCGTATACAATGTATCAAACTATTGGAACAGCCATTAAAGTGTGGTTGTAACATATCCTTGACAATCTCGATGTGCTTCTTGACCCTATTTCCTATGGATAAATCCGGTGCACACTGATCAAATCAAGTGGGTAGATATGTTGAGATGTTGATAGTATCTCTCGCAGGGTCTAATATCAGCCAGCAGCTCTTATGCATAGAACTGGTTCATGTAGGTTCTCCTAGATGGAGACGTAGGTACGAAATCATGAGGTTAGAATGTAGCTAGGTAGCTAGCTTGATCCAGCCTCGACTCGATCAGATCTCATTAAAGGAAGCTATTGTAGGTAGATACTCGAACCCACCTCCTAAGATCCCAATTCCCTACCTAGGTAGACACTCAACCTATCATACGGCATACATCATACCCCTCGGAGAAGCTTGAATAGATCTTATTCAATCTGTACCCAGGATTCGAATCCTTCATTCGTCTTCTTTAACAACCCTAATTCCACGGTAGGTAGGTACTTATGTGAGTATGTAGGCATTGGGTAGGTATACCTCGCTTAGGTGTGCCTGCTACTAGCGCTGCGGCGCCACGAAACCACGAGCACCTTAACTTCCACATTGGCGTGTAAGCCGCTCCCTGAGCTAAATGGTCGCTAAACCGCCCAAAAGTAATAGAAGATGCGTTTCGAGTTGAAACAGCACAACCAGCTTATCTCATATTAGTATTACCTACGAGCAACACAGTACCTGAATCCCTTCTCGTCATATTCAACATGTTAGTTGACGGTAAATTGTCTGATCTGTATAGGTACCTATGTGGGATTATTAGAGGCTGTAAGTAAAGACCCGTACAGTAATCGTATGATATGAGAAAACAGCCACCTATCTTAAACGGTTATGGGCCCCTTTTCAATCTTTGGGACATTGGGCAACTACACTAACTCAATCAACTGAGCCAACTGTCTTTACAGGCAAGGCGAGGGCAATAGAAAGAAAATATCGAATGCAATGGCTGGTAGGTAGATAGGATTACTTACCTATCCAATCCATACAGAAGGGAACATGGTATGTTCAGCTCGGGCAACTTGATGGTTATTCAATTGAAGATCAGATAGCATATCCTGACCGATCTATAAAAATATGCAATGCCTTTCTACGCATCTAGCTTTAGCTTTTCTAGCATTGTATCGATCTTTTGCAATAGGAGTTGGTAGTTTATAGCGTCAGAGGCGAATTCATCCTCGACAAGCTCCCCATCAAGAGTTCGAACCACACCACCTGAACCAACCAGTGCCTCCGGTACGTCCGCGTTTGCAGAAAAGGCGTTGCCATTCACATTTCCAAGGGGTCCGTTATTGGACTCTTCCTCAGAAGCTGTGTCCTTCCCCTGGGAACCTAACAATTCTGCTGCTATCGGGTCAACTTCGCCATTTTCATCCAACATCTCGTCCAACCCTGCATCTTCGAACCGTAATCTAAAACGTTCAGATAAGTAATACCGAATATCATCTAGTAACTCGATTGTATCCGTCTCCTCTCTCGTCTTAAGCCTTGCGGCACTTTCTTGAATCAGTTCCATAAACTCCTCTTCATCGATGTAATCTTCCAGACGATACGCAAGATAACGAGCGGAAAATTCCTCTAGACGCTGAACCCGAAGATCCCAGGCCGCGTGTATAACGTCATATACGTTAATAGGCTCAACCTCAACTTCCAAATGATCACCGCCTTCATGAATATGCGTCCGATCGACTAATACATTGTTGTTTCCGCTCCCTAATGTACTAATGGCGACTGCGGCTTTATTCTTCACCTTGTCTAGAAACAGCATATCAGATGCGTAGAGTAGATCTAGGCCGAGTTCCAGAGGACATTCGACTTTCTCGGTATAGAGGAATGTTAGAATGATCTCAAGAACCTCGGGCAAACAATCAACCTTAATGATATGTAGATGTTCCGATGCTTGAGCCTCGCGAAATGATCCGGAAAACATTGTTTCGAAGTACGGCGAGCGAATCAGCATCGCTTTATGGGCAGGATATAAAACGGATTTTTTAACCCTCTTAGTATCTCGTCTTGGCGCTCTAGCGCCAGGCCCAATAGGTATTTCGTTAATTTCTTCGTTGTTTTCAGCGTCTTCTTCCTTTTCTCCTTCTCCGTATCCGCCCTCGTCAGCTCGTAAGAGGCAGTCCGCAAATATAGAGTTATCGTGCGGCCACTTGACATCATGGACCTTCCTGGAGTCGACGACCATCTTATGCCCCAGCACATTGCTTTGGAAAAAGTCCTCGATTTGCCCCTGAGCTCGATTAACCTCGTCTTGATGCCTCTGACGGGCTAATCGCCGATCGCTCCCCGAGAGAATAGCTTCCCATAACTTATCAACCTCCAAATGTTTACTGATCTTGTCAACTCCGGTCAAGACCTCTTCCTCGGTGCTATTACTTCGAGCATCGACTAGATCTCTTGGTATGTCGCCGAGGTATAGATACCGCAGGACTACCTGGAATGACTCAATCGGTATAGAATGAGGCAGTTTCCATGTTTCGGTCTCAGGGGCGTCCGTAAGCTTCCTTTGGAAGTAAGGCGTCCTAGCGGAGAGGAGGAATTTGTGAAGCTCGAACGATTTTGATGGTGTTATTAGCGTAATATCAAAAGTCCTTGGTGTATCTCTAGATAGTAACGAGCTGATATGGGCTGCCCAAGGCTGCAAGGGGTCTGTAGATTTCGAGTAGTCGTATTTGAGAAGTAAGTTCCTAATCTTGTCGTTCAGAGCATTATATATACACCTTTCCCCTTGAAACGTGTCACGCTCAGCTAAAGCGCCAGACTCAACTAAGAAGTAGATTAGCGTATTTCGTGAAAGGGGTCTTTGTAGAAGTGATACATACGTAACAGCTCAACTAACTCATAATGACCGCAGAGACTTGCCTGAAATAGTCAGTTGCCTAGGACTATCAAGCACCACATGTAGAATGGACAAGCTCTACTCACAACGATGAGTGGGGTGTAATCGAATCTATCTTTCCCGTTGATATTGACGCCAGCAGAAACCAACTCCTGCGTTCGCTTTAGATCACCTCGTCGACATGCTTCTAGAAGTTCGTTAAACTCCTTGCTAGTGTCGAGTGGATTCTCGTCGCGAAGTATACCACTCCTAACTAATTCAAGATCATCTTTTAGCTTGGCCTCTAGCTCGTGCTTTCGAAGAACCATGATTTGTCAGTAGCCAGAGCCCGCAGTCCGGAATAGACCTAAGGATCTATAGATGTGATCTAAGATGGTTCCGATCGCGACACGGACAGCGTGGTGTAAAAAGTCAGATTGCGAAACCCGATAACTCCGACAAAATGATGACTGGCTGATTATGCATGGCGATTGGAAAATGACAGCAAATAGATCCGTAAGGTCGTACTGTTAGATGTCATCAATTAATAGTTGTAGCCATAGAGGAGTGATGATATCACGTGGCTATCGATGCCATGTGGGGGGGATACATATTACACCTGGCATTGTGCCCACCTGGCAGTGTCCATTATAAGTACATAAGTATCAACTATGTACCTAGGTACGCTGTACAGAGTATTCTGTGCAGTAGGTACCTACTTACATGTAATTAGGCCCTTTTCAGGTACCTTGGGTACCTAGGAGGTATTCCAAGGTTTCAGGTACAAATAGCCGATTATGATGTGACTATCGATAAGAATCTCCAAATTTCTCCAATTGCCAAAGCCATAGAAACGAGTCAAAAAATTGAGTTGCCCCACTTGGAGCTAGGCAGTTGCTGTGGTCACGGCTGGTTTGTTGACTAAAAGGGTTAATGGGAAAGAACTGGGATTCTCAAAGCACTAAACTTTTATCCTTATCCCAATTGCACTGCACAGCTATGCACATTGACTTTAACATTTCCCCGTGCAGATTTCTTTCAGAATTCAATTCAACTTTGTTCAACAACAAACTTTGGAATTCCGGGATTTCGCAGCACCTAATTCTCACGCTTTAGCTGCGGAATTCTTCCAATCACTTGTTACTGGACATTCGGCATTCGACATTCGACACTCAGTACCCGCTACTTTCATATTTTACTTTTATCCTTCGTCTTTCTCATCACCGTCTGCGTCTTGCTTGCTTGCTTCGTGCTTCTTGCATCTCGTCACTTGCCATTTGCTACGTGCTAATCTTTACTTCCTCCCCTTATCCCCTTCGACTTGCTAGCTTTCGTTGGCTACCACCCTTACTTCTTCTGTTGTCTATGGCATTTCTCTACTCCGTTGAACCTTAAAAAGTTCTCTGCATAGGCACTCGGTTTATCATGACGGAGTCAATAGGCGACCAGTACGAAGTACTGGAGAAGATTGGTAAGTCGTCGATAATATTGTCATAGTTCCAACAACGTGTCGCACCTAGCTTCCAACATCAAACATTAAACACGCTCCTCCTTATGCCCTTATGCTTCAATCGATGACAGATTTAACCCCTTACAACTATAGGCCATGGATCCTTTGGCATCATCCGAAAAGTGAGGCGCAAGACCGATGGAATGATCCTCTGTCGCAAAGAGATCAGTTACCACAAGATGTCACAAAAGGAACGCGAACAGTTGCACTCCGAGTTCCATATCCTTTCGACCCTCCGGCACCCCAACATCGTCGGCTACTACCATCGTGAACACCTAAAGCAGACACAAGATCTACATCTGTACATGGAGTATTGCGGTAACGGTGATCTCGGCCGTGTTATTCGAGATCTTATCCAACGTAAGGAGTATGCCGATGAGCAGTTTGTTTGGGAGATTTTTGCGCAGTTGGTTACGGCTTTATACCGGTGTCACTATGGCGTGAACCCTCCTGCTATCGGTCCAAGTGTTGTAGAGGTTATCAACGGAGGAAAGGTAGCCAAGGTGCCTCATGGAAACATGACGATCCTTCATAGAGATCTGAAGCCCGAGAATAGTCAGTGGCCCAGGCAATCTGAACGTAGTGAATCGTGCTAATATCAAACAGTTTTTCTCGGAGAGGATAACTCTGTTAAGCTCGGCGACTTTGGATTGTCTAAGATGATCCAATCCCACGACTTTGCGTCCACGTACGTCGGTACGCCTTTCTACATGTCTCCCGAGATATGTGCCGCCGAGCGATACACGCTCAAGTCTGACATCTGGTCATTGGGTTGTATAATGTACGAACTATGTTCCAGGGAACCTCCGTTCAACGCGAAAACACACTTTCAACTCGTGCAGAAGATCAAAGAGGGAAAAGTTCCAGGTCTACCTAAGGTGTATTCCGCTGAACTCTGGAGCGTGATTAAGAGTTGCCTCAGTGTTAATCCTGACATACGACCCGACACTGCCACTCTGCTCAACCTTCCAGTTGTTCGACTGATGCGTAAAGAACGTGAGGCAGTCGAGCTCAAGAAGAAGTTGCAGACGCACAATGATCTATTGACTCACCGCCTCAAGCAGCTTGAAGGCAAGCTAGCAGGCGTTGAAGCCGAGAAGGCGCATTTCCGACAGGAGACCGATTCTCAGTTACGACGGGAATGGGAGGTCAAAGCTAGATTAGAGATTGATCGTCTTGTGAACGAAGAGATCGAACAGCTTCAGAGACGCTTTGAAGCCGAAGTCGATGCACGAGTTCAAGAGGAGCTCCAGAAGAAGAGAGTCTCCTTCGGTCCTATTGAAACACAAGAGTTCGCTTCATCTCTGTCCAAGTCAGATTTCCCCCGCTCTTTCATAACGAGCACGGATGGCGAATTTCCGTCTATTACGGATATAACTGATTATTCGGTCGACTCGCCGGAGGAGCCTCTTAAGAAGAGCCGCATTCTCGGCCGAGCTCAGACCATGTTCGAGCGTAACGTTGGAACACCGATGCAAATGATGGATATAGACATGGCATCGCCTTCCCCCATGGCCATCGCATCTTTGTCTCTATCGCCTCGTCGCAACAATGCGAAGAAGGCACCGACATCGAACCACCCTACGATCTTTGACCAGATTGACGATGAGCTTTCAAGGACGGATTTCAACCCATCGGACTCGGAGGATGATGATACGCCGATAATCCCGTCGCCTACTCGACCTCCGAGGTCCAACAGGAACCCGTTCGGTCCCCAGCGACCGATTCTTACGACCACAAAGACTGCTCCGATCGGTCGCCCCAAGACCCAAAACTCCTTGATAACTAACAAGGCAGTAACGGCTCTATCTCAGCCGCCCCCGGAGTTCCAGTTACGAGCCCAACCTAGCAATGGGGCATTGAGAGAGAGGGGTAACTCGCCCAACCGACGTCTCAGTAAGATCCCGTCTGTCGCTAGTCTCGGCACGCAGGGTGTAGAGGTTGCCCTGCAGCGAAAGCCATCCTTGAAGAAGGATCCAGACCAGCCTCTGACCAAGGTTGCAGTTAAGAATAATATCAAGGGTCGTACTCTTGTAGAACTCCAGCAGGCTCGTGCTGGTGGTCGTCCTGTGGAAGGTGTGAATGTTAGTCCCAAGCGCAACCCCAAGGACCGGCTTTTCTCGGAGCCCGCGGTCTGGGATCCAGAGAAGGATGAAATGCCGAGTCCGTTTCTGGTGCGCAGGAAGCAGCCTACGACTCGGGTATAGGGTACCCCTTCCCCTTCCCGCAGGATGACGCATTGAGTACACGAGTTATGATATACCACGCCCGGCCCGACACATTGTGTGGCCATTTTCCTTTGTCGTACCTAAGGGGGTGGTTAGTCCCGGGCAAGACGGCTATGGGTGTAATGATGATCGGTGTGACCAGCATAATCGCGCGTTGAATCGTCAGGGCATGGAGCTAAGGCATGGCGTTTGATACCGAGGAGTCCCAAAGAGTTCTGGCGTATTTGGCTTATTGAGACTGGTATGCAGACCAGTCACATTGTGTATAGTTGATCGCGCAGTGCCACAATTACTCATTTTCCACCATCAAGTCTAGAGTGATTCCGAAAGTGGGCTGCTGCGACTTGTTAGATATTTCTCTTTTTTCTTCTTCTCTATTTCCTCCCTTTGCTAGGCACCATCGCATGCATCTAAATCTGTCAGTCAGGACAATTCGACAAATGTACTTGCTTCGGGGAGCAAGGTCGCCCACGTTGGGGAGTTCGACGAGGACTAGATCATCAAGACTTTACGTTTGTACAATAGATTGCCTATTCGTGCTGAATACATAAACTATAAACTATTAATAAATGGGTTTACCGTAATTCCGGACAGGGAGGTTAATCATACACCTTTGACCCAACACCTTGACTCCGTGGACGTACATAGAAGCGAAGGGCTCAAGTCGAGCTCGCTAATTCGTATGAAATGTGTTTCTAACCACCACATGACAGTATGTATGAAGGTTGGCAACCACTCCAATACTATTGGCCTATGTTAGCCCTATACCCAACCAACTCGTCACGGCATATCTCCTAGTCACAGAAATAGAGAAATTGGTCGTCCTCGTCTGTTGGCGTGTTGGCCTTTTTACATGCATCTAGCTTTCGTGTTAGTCTCATCTTGAGTTGCCTAGGTAGGTTGTACATCGTTGTCATGCATTTGAAGTAGAAATGTTACAACAGGTAGACTCACTATCTTGTGTATCGCAATCTGAGACCTTGAAAGAGGCGCCTCCCTTATTAGATAGGTCGGCGCAATCGTTCTTTTGATCGTCGCACACTCGGTTCGATGCGCTAGAGAAGTCGCTCTGTTCAGTGATTAGTATGGTGTGGCTAGCAGGATAGGCCTAGCAGATGAAGAGGGATGGGAAGGATGGGAATAATGACGACATACGAAAGTATCACCATTCGATCTCTGCCCGCCTTCTATCTTAAACGGTTTGTTTTTGGCATCATTAGAATCATCGTTAGATACTATCTATTGCGATCCATTCTGGTTAGCCATCGAGTCGCTACATATTACCTACTAGGTAGGTACCTAGGCATGTGCTCTTAGGACTTCTACTCACTTGCGCAGCAGCTTGGTTCCCTAGAGGCGCGGAGGTGAATTGCTACGTGGGACACGTTAGTTCGACCTATGGATCTCTTCGAATAAAACAATATGCAGGTATACAACTACGGACCTGGAAATTTGTTATAGCTTGTTGTCTTGCGAACAAGCCTAGTTCTAAGTCTCGCCGTAGGTCGTCCATAAGGTCGCCGGCCATTACCCCAACTAGGAGACCTGCGAGTAGAGATAGACTAACTGCGCCTCGGCACTTCATGGTTTCGCTATTCGTATCTTCTCTGGTCTTGTCTGATATCTTGGGGTCCGACGTATGAGCGAATCCGTGTAACTAATGAGTCCTGAAAAGGAACGGGGTTTTGAATAATTGAAGTAAAAAAGATGGTTGTTGATTTCGAGAGTATTTGCTAAACCTTCTTACTTCGCTACATAATACATACGTCCCTAACAGTTGACAGCAAAACTTGGATATTCTCGCAACGCACGTATGACACCCGAGGAAAGAAATGAAACACGGAAACATAGGTGATCTGATAATTGGTTCGACAGTCGCGGGAGATCGCACAGATACCTAGACAGAGAGGCAGATGCGGTGCTGAAACCATCCTGAGACGGACCAAACCACGATCCCACCTAGACTATTCCTATCCGTCTTCACCATCACGCTAAATAGCTTAGCCAATTCCTCGCAGCGTAAGAGCCGATGATATACGAGTAATAAATACTAAAAACCCAATCGGAATTAAAAGAATTGAGCTTGACCTAGGTAAGTGCATATGTATGTATGGCTTGGAATGTGAGATCTAGATCTGATCTAGAAATGGAGAAAAAGCTTTTACAATTCCACCAATCCATCCCTTTGACCCCTTTTGACTTTCACCCCGGGTCAAATCCCCATATAACCAAATCCAATCATAAAGTTTACCATCTGCCGTAAGTTCAAGACCCGTTAGAGACCCGTCGAAGCTTAAAAGTTGGGTTGACGTTCAAATATGCTTCATCGTTTAGATCGTTGAACCTAATGCTTGATACCAGCCTTAATTCCAGCCCGACGTCTTGAAACTTACGCGGGATCTAGTCTTAGCATCATGCCTAGATATTTGAGTTTGACAAGGTTATCGCATTCAAAAGCGGCAATTGAGTGAGTACATCATAAATGAGGAAAAGAACAAACTAAGAGTACGGTGGAATATTGTATATTAATTGAGGTAATTGACGTGACGACTTGTGCCTGCAAGAGTATGTAGGTACGTGTTCGTATGTACTTTGATTGAGAATCGAAGAAGCTGGTATTATGAAGCTGTATACAAATATCCCCCCTTCTCTTTCGCGTCTCAGCTGCGTAGACTAGGTCATGGAGCTGTTCTACCTTGCTCGGCCGAGTCGAACACGTCGCTCAGATCAGAAGCGTTACTAGTCTCGTGCACAAAAACCCTGCCTCCGCCATTTTTTCTTAGAGTACGTGTTTCGTGAGATAAGGTGGAAAAGTTTTTCTATTCCTTAGGATGCCGGTTTATGAAATGGGGTCAACATGATGATTGCTTATGCCATGCGAATACCTCCAAACTCCGGCGCCCGCGCGGTCTAATTCAATGCCGCATAATAAGTAGGAGATGAGGGCGATGCCAAGGACATATATTCCCATGCTTAGAAGTTGGAAGCAGCGTTCGTTTGCGTCGGCGCGTGGTAACTCTCGAGGGTGCTCTGGAACGGGCTGCGAGTGGCGGTACTACCGCTAGGCTCGCTCTTCTCAGCAGTACCAGGGCCGCCAAATCCGTCGCCGTAGCTGACCAATTCCTCATTCTCCTCGTGGTTCCTCCTCTTGCTGCGAAGTCTCCAGAATAGCACACCAGCAGCCGCAAGAACAATCGCGCCACCAACGCCAACACAGACACCGATGATCGTGTGTCTAGTAGTTGGGGGCATGGTGCTGTTTTGGGACGAGGGGGCAGCCGTAGGTGTCGACACTATTGTGCTGGACGAAGAGGTAGTAACTGTTTGTCCTGCCGAATCAGTAGTAGTGATGACGGTCACAAAAGTTGAAGTAGAGGGCGCCAGGGTCGTGCTGGGGGCTGCCGAGGTGGTACTACCACCGCCGCCATTGGTAGTTGTTTCTATTGGCGTGGATGAGGATGAGGCTCTGTTAGTGGTGGACGTTGCTGAGGTCGTGGGGCTGTTGTTGTTGGTACTGCTGGGTGTCGTTTGAGCTGATGTCGGGGTTGTGTTCTCTGCTGTCGAAGTAGTTGAAGAAGCCCTGCTAGTGCTAGTTGGGGTGGTGGTTGTCGAACGGGCTGACGTTGAAGTTGATGACGGAGTATCGTCTGCGCTCGATGTGGATGCAGCAGTAGCCGCCGCAGAATCGGTATCCAGGGTCGCAATCGAGAGAGGGTTATCTTGTCTCTTCACCTCGTGATGGCCTAGGCCGGTCTGTCGATTATCTAGCCATGCTACACCGGTGACGGATGACACAGAAAGTGCCACCATCAAAAGGTTCATGAGCCGCGTCGAATACATTATGGGCAGCGACCAGTGATGGTCTGTGGTCTAGAGGAATGCTAGAATATGTCGATAACAAGGAAAGGTGAGAGTTAAATGGATATAGTCTGTCCCTCTCTCCTCCCTTCTCGAGATTGTAGCAAGATGATAGTTCCCGTAACACGTGTATCGGTGATGAACGGGATAGGTAATCTTAAATCTGGAGCACCGTCTAACAAACCCAAATGTGTCTTCGGATGACACGCGACAGGAAATTGCTTGTAATGAGGTGTCCGGTAAGATATAGGGGTTTTAGGGTGTTCGAGAAAGAACGAGCGCTTAGGTGGGTAGTGCAAAAACGTAAAGAGGTAAAAAAGTAGAAAACCTCAGGACTTAACGAACGCAATGGTGTACTAGGAAAAGATGCAATATGGTGTTGTTTTTGATGTCGAATGAGTGAGGTGAGGGAAAGAAACGAATGACCAAGAGTAGGATAGGTAGGATTTAGGATGTGCCCAGGTGAAGAATTCTGACGAAGGCCTGGATTCTGTTGGAAGAGTGATGGCTCCTTGGTCCTTGAGATGATTAACTGGGTTAACTGGGCTAACGGGACGAGGTATGGTTACATTAGCTTCGTATTTTTGCACAAAGCTGCTGCTGCTTAAGGGTTCGCGCATAATTCTCTTAATCAAAGACCCAATCATCGGTCAACAAAGGCAAGGGGCGAGTGGGGTCTTTAATGGACCCACGAACTTGAGTTTCTTAGACAACTAATTGGTGGTACCATGACAAAATTGTACCGATGTCGATGTATTCGATGTATTCATCTTGTACCTACAGCGTATGACAGCGCTTCGCATATGTACGACTAAATATTCTGCACATTTGCTCCAGTCTCTTATCACCGTAGCGAACCCATCAAGATCCAGATATTACAAGTAGAATCTTTGAAAGACTCAATCGAGTTTTCTTATTGGTGCCTACATAGTACCTAAGGCATGGTACTCACTCAGGCTGTCAGGCTACCTAGGAATTGCATGTATTACCTATTACCTAGGTAGTATGTTACTATGTTGAATGGATTGAATTGAGGATAAAATATGTAAGTACCTCCCTTAATAGTAAGGAGACCGGTCCTGCCGGATTTCGGCAGCGACGCGCAATAATGTACTTTTTCGAAACTTGACTAAAAATAGTGCATCCCTTTCTTTGTGTTTAAATATTCTCTCCTCAAAGCTTACCATATATTTTATCTTTAAACTTCGAAGAATATTTTAAACAATATTTATGTAGTACGTATAATCATCAAAACCCTATGTACCTCGCAGCCACGGTATCCCTCGCAAGCTTGGTTACCTCAAACCGGCGGGCACCTGCGAAAGGACGGTATCTGGATTCTGGAGCCTCTTTAGTTGTGGGCATACTACTGGTACATCACGTTACGTACCCAAGATCGGACGTATCTGCCCCATTCTGCGCATTTTCGTCCACTAAAGACACCAAGATCATCAGGGTCTGACGGGAAGGGCTTGCTGGGCTTGGTGCCTTGAATTGGGTGATGTTGCCCCGAAGTTCAAGCCGAAAAACCACCTGGGCACATAGCCACAATAATAAGGGGACTGCTGAATACAACGCAAGTAAGCTGCAAATGATAACGTCAGTAATGTCGATCGAACAACGTTGCATGCTGCTGACCTGTCAGACAAGAATACTGTTTACTGGCTTTCATAGGTTTTCATAGGCCCGTTAAACCCGACAATCAAGTTTGAACCTACCTACTTAGGTACCTAAGTATGCACGAAGTAATAAACAAACAATCGCAATTTTCTGAGACGATTGTACTTATGCCCTATGATCATGAGCCAAACACCCATAGCCGAGTATATTCGCGACACGGGCACGGGATGTTGTTTCGAAACACCGTCCTATTCTGGCTGTCTGGCTAATTTGTGGTCGGGAACCTCTAAAATCTATGTATTATGCCAATGGTGCGGCGCGCCGTTGCGCCGCTATATATTCGTAACCGGTGGGATTTTCCTTGTTACAATACCTCCGACTACGAGCGGTATCGTTGCTTGGATAAGATACATATTCCTTCAACGGAAGTGCGATGTAGCTCCTCATTGGTGAGGTAAGCCAGACGGTTCGCACTACGTCGATTCTAATATATAATTCTACGCCTTTTGCAGATTCTCCTTTTTGACTTACATCTTAGGAATGTGGGGAACAGGCTCCGCCTTAGACACACAAAAAAAATTAATAAAAGGCGGGCTCGGACTAGGCTAGATTTCACGATAGGTATGACATCCGTGGTGTTTATTCCGACAGGCATTCCGATCGTCTAGCCGGCGTTTGGAATCCGGAAACCACTTTACCTTCGGGCGGCCTTTCGTCACATGTCGCGCGGTTCGTCTATCCATCTATTTTGAGACTGTCTTAAGTTTGGCGGCACGGCACTGTCTATTTTTAAATAAGGTTATGTCGTTGTTCTTGACGCTTGCTAATAATCTCAGATCGACGTTGCGCATGAATATCTAATAATGTTACCCATGCTACCCATGCCACTTCATAAACCTCACCTCTTATTAAGTCATACTCAGTTCTCATTTACTATCATCAATTTTTATAATTCTGCTATATCGAAACCTACCTAAATACCTACTTATGCCACTCGATTTAAGTATATAATGTGATATGTTTGGAAGCCGCTAAATACCAAGCGTTTTTTGATAAGTACTTACCACTTTAAACGTCCACGGTGTGTTTTAGTAGGTATTACAATGTATGGTTACCTAATTATTAAAGACTGTTACGCTAGGTAATCAAATAGTGTTATATATACTTATATAAATGAGGTATATAACCCATTTTGTTGTTAATAAGAGGTTTTATCTTTTTCCGCTGAGCAATTTTCAGGAATTTAAGTCGATTGAGGCGGATATTTTGAACCGAGTATCACTTAGCGTTACTGCTAAATAACCTCGGTTCATATTTACTAGGTAAATATATCTCTTGTTTGAACAAATCTTCCCAACTCGCATTATCACTTGCCTATTAGTTTCCTTAAAACCCCGTTATGATATTTTACTGGCCTTGGCTTTCCATTACGCGAGAGGAAAGATGTTGGCGACTACCTAGGTAAGGTAGTGATGTAGGCAGGTATTTCTAGCACCCTTGATAGCTGCGGCTGAAAATTCCGAACGAGTCGGACCTTATGTCATTCCAGACATCCAGTAAGATGGGGATTAATTGGCTTTTCGTGTTACACAACTGTTGGATTGATGGATTGATGCTTTTAAGGGTTCACTGCCAACGCACACTTCCAATCACTCTCTACGCATCAATGTATTTGTAAGGAACCCTCGCTGTTATCGACTTTACTCCTTATTCATAACCATAACAAAACTCGAAGAGTCCAACAGATCACGCCGAAAATATGATTTCTATTTTAATACATCAGTCATCACATGCTATGAATTTCATCAACTAGAAAAGCTTAGGACTCACTTTCGTTCGCCTCGTTGTCTCTGGAGATAAGTGGGTAAATGTACATATAATAAATTAGCAAATATAACTGCCGAACACGTGTGTCTTGTGAGAGCGATCAGGTAGTCAGATAAATCTATGATCCTTAAGATCGCTTATACTTATAACAACACAAACGGAGTTGAAATGATCGTTTTTGAAGGGGAAGCTTGCGTCATCGTACAACGATTAGGTTTGTGCCCCTCAGTAGGTAGAGTTCGTCTGTTCTTGTAATCTGAGATGATGTATGTACTAGGTACGGAAAAAAGCAACGGGTGAAAAAGAAAAGAAAAGTGAAGAGAAAAAGAATTATAGTTGGAATTTAACCAACCTTCCTGGTTAGGAATTTTGCTTGGCTGGACCTATGAGCGCTCACGTCCTGCACCTGCCAGTGTCAGGTAGGATGAACTGGATTCTGGATGGATACGTGGAAAGCGCGACCCAGAGTGGCAGGAGTGGATATCCAAGGCGATGGTAAGGCCCATTAAAATTATGGACGAGGGGAAGCACTATGCATAGTATGCGAATCCACCACGCGAATCAATTTGAACGGTTAGAGACTGATGGAAGTGACATGACGCACGTGCCTTCCTCACATAAAATACCCCTATGTTCTTACCTTAGAGAAGTACCCCTTATCACGTCAAATTTAGCACTAGACTAAATCTAATAGTAATAGCAATTTCAATTAACAGGCAATCCCGGACAAAATTTTGGACAACTTGGGTTTTCCTCGCAAACCAAAGGGGGTTTACGGTTTAATACCACCAGGACAGCTTTCACCTCCATCGCGTCTTAACTTTCGAGTCCGAATCCATCTCATAATTAATTCCCCTCTTGGATTCAGGCCGGAAAGCGACAAGTTCAGTCGAAGCCGATGGAGAGTTGCGTATTTTTACCATTCTTTTAATTTCTATTTTCCGCTCCTTTTTTATTATTCCTTCGTTCTCCCGATTAGTCGATAGGTAATTTCGGTGATCGGTGAGCTTTCGTTTTATGAACAGCAACGCGTCGCGACAGATACCCACGTTGCCAATCACCGCAACTCGACCCCTTAGTTGGCCCAGGACCGATCCCTATTTATCGTCCGGTAAACGAAGGAGGGCGCACGTTAAACGCGAGAGTAATAATTTGGAGATCTAGCAGCAGGCGATCCGTGTCTCGTCTGCGCTGATCTCGTCGTGGTATGTCTCGCTTGGGAACCGGTCCTCCGCCATCTCTCCCTTGAATCGATAGCCAACGATAATACCTCAGGACTAACCTGTATCCATTGGGCCAAGCCCCCTAAAGACGTATTCTTCAAAGTCGTCGACCCCTCCTCGTGCCTCTGCACAGGACGGCACTGGAGCCTCACCATCTCGTCATTCAGCGAGGTCGTCTCCCGTCTCGAGTACTTCGACTGTCGGCGACGGTGAAACATCCCCGGTACTTCCACCGCTGCCAGCTCCCAAGCTACCGGGCAGGGCCTCCGAATATCTTCGGACGCCACCATCTAGTCGCGGCAACGAAGGCGATAGACAATACGTTACAACTAGCTGGGGTTCACCGTACCCAGACGCCGATAGCAACCAATTTCGCCGACTGAGTTTTAGTAGCGAAACTTCAGAAGA